GCCCATGTCCAGGATCCATCTGTGTATGGTGGCTCTTGATGCACTGATTCCAGCCTCAGTCCACTCCTTGTGAAAGTCCGCAACACTTTTGAATGGCCTTTTCCTGACAATCCTCTCCAGGCTGCGGTCATCCCTGCTGCTTGTGCACTTTTTTCTTCCACACTTTTCTCTTCCACATAACTTTCTATTAATGTGCTTTGATACAGCACTTTGGGAACATCCAACTTCTTTTGCAATTACCTTTTGAGGCTTTCCCTCCTTATGGAGGGTGTCAATGATGGTTTTCTGCACAACAGTCAGGTCAGCAGTCTTTCCCATGATTGTGCTTCCTACTGAACCAGACTGAGAGACCATTTAAAGGAACCCTTTGCAGGTATTATGGCTTAATTAGCTGATTAGAATGGGACACTTTGAGCCTAGTATATTGAACCTTTTCACAATATTCTAATTTTTTGAGATTGTGGATTTGGGGTTTTCATGAGCTGTAAGCCATAATCATCTCAATTATGACAAATCACGGCTTCACCTTTTAAGTTGCATTACTGAAATAAATGAACTTTTGCACGATATTCTAATTTTTCGAGTTTTCCCTGTAGTCTACTCTTTTTAACCTTTTAAAAAGTGTTAAGACCTACATATTATAGTAAATATATTATAACTACCATCACCCTTCCCTTTATGCTATTTCCATATTGTTTTTATGCTTTTTCATTTTTGCTGTATCTGACTCAAAGGCACGTACGTATGTAATTATATGTGACAGAGAATAGCTTGCATGTAGAAGGAGGTCAATACAGAGATAGTTTAAAAAAGAATAATGATAATGATGGAACAAATTTAGGGTAATGAAGGCTAGGAATTCACAGGAGTCAGGAAAAACAGCAACTGAAGAAAAATAAGTAGACAGGAAAACATATACTAAGGTTTATAAGAACAACAAGCAGCACTTCAAAATTTTGATGAAGAGCCAAAAATGAATTTCAGATGCTGATTTTAATGAGGCCAAGAATTTTGCCACCCACAGTTATTCTGTTTCTCTGTTAAGATAAATGAAGTATCTTTAAAAGGATCTTTAAAAGGATGACCCAATGTCAAAAGGATGACAATTCTATGCCTATCTGCTTTTATTTTTGTTAAAATGAATGAAATTATAAATTAGTATTTCCTGTTATATTTATTACAAAAACCATATACCGAAAGAAATGTTTCAATATTCTCATGAATAAAAGAAGCAATATCCTGCCAATCAAGCATGTCACTTGTCCAACTATGCTCACGATTTAAATGCTTTTTGTGACTTTTTTGTTGTCCAGAATGAGTTGTATTCTATAAAACAAAAGCAAAATATTATAAAACATTTCATGTATTAAATTTTACAAGACAAAAGGAACAAAGTACTTTTCAAACAAAAATTGGATTAGCCTAGATTACAGATCTCAGTAGAAATTACACTTTATAGCATAATGTCTCAAAGTGGTCATTATTGACCCCCGAGTTTGACAAGGAGTCACTGTTATTATGATAATGATGATTTATAGAACTATTAAAATAGTATTCATTAAATTATTTTCATATAATAAATGCCTGGATTCATGAACAATCTAAAAATTCATGAAGACTTTGAGGGGTTGGACTTCCTCCCAAAATGGCTGCTGCACAGTAAGAACTTCTTTTTCTCTTATCAATGATCTGTTAATTTTACTGCCAAAACTGGTTCTTTAGCAGTACTGTTCCCTAATTTTGAATGGAAGCATTTTGGAATGACCCAAGAAGGCTTCTGGACAATTGTGGACGCAGTTGGGAAGGGGGGGTCCTGAAGATTCCAATTCCCTCTGGAAGAAATCAAAGCTAATAGGCGTATATAGGCAATATATATCTTTGTGTCAGTAGTTTCCTTTTCCTAAGCACACATGGACATTAACTTTCACTTTTTGAACTTTTTGTTTCATTTTCTGAAACAAACATTTTCTGCTTTAAAAGTTGATTAGTGGTTGAATGCTGATTTATTTCAACTCCTTGCTGGGGTTGAATTGTTTTTTCTTTTATTTTTCCCTTTTTTATATATGTTGTTCTTAAAACCTCTGTCCTCAACATATGGAAGCAAGGAAGGCATTGTTGGGGGTGGGGAGTTTTTAGAGTCTCACAACAGGATTTCTATACTTTTTGAACAGGGAAAATATCAATTGAATTTTTCCTTAAACCTGGGATTGAAATATAGAGAAACATATAGAAAACATCTCTTTTTTGTTCTTTTGTTCCTGATCAAGTTTCACAGACTAAGAAATGGCTGAACATTGTCTGAAACTAAGAAAGGAGGGTAGGGGACAACGCAGCCCTTAGCTGAATTTCTCTTTAAAAAGCTCAATGAGACAATAACGATCCTGCAAATTATGTTGAGGCATGGAACTTTTTAAAAATACCTTTGTTTAGCCAAATCTGATTGTCTGCCTCATCTCTAAACTGGGTCCATTCCCAAAATTGCACCTGCACCTCCTGCCCACCATTTGAATGCTGCTGGCTGCCGCTGAAGTTGCTGATGCTCCCTGCGCCCTTTGCCAGTGGGCACAGTGTTTAATTGTCCTGGGGAAGGAATTTGCTGTGAAGATCTGTGTCGCGGTGCAATGGCCTCAACTATGCAGCTTTGCAGAAGCGGTGGAGTTGTAATGCCAGTGGTATATCATTGGTGCAGGGCAAACCATGGATGAAGAGCTGGGGTGGGTCAGCATGGCTGGAAAAGCCATGGTGAAATGGACATGATTATGTGGTCAGGAGGAATTGTTCTAGACTCATGAATCTGAGAGCAAAACAGAACTGCAGAAATGTCAGGAAAAGGGACAGTGTTTCAAAGTGAAGTCATCTCTATTCAAGACCTGTCTGCAAATAACTGCCAGATGATATATGAGGTTTTTTGTTGTTGTATCAGGACCACTTTAGATTATTTTAGCAATTGTCCTGATTTGTAGTGACAAGGACAATAGGTCAGAAATTCCAATCTCAAGTTCTTTAGGACCTTACATATAAAAAGTAATTCAGCAACTTGGTCACACATTCTATAGCTTCCAAACCAAGCAAAAAGACACATCCACACAGAATGCATTCAAATACAAATATTTATATAGATTCATGTTTATAGTATGTGATTTTTGTAGCTAGACTATCCCTAGGAAAGAGAAAGAAATAGGTTTATCTAGTCACCAACATCAGTTGTTATAATACAGTATATATTGTCATGTGTATTGGTAAATCAATGTAAATCAATAATTGTTAGGCACTCTTCAGATGTCACGGTAGCCCATGCTTCCTTAGTCCTTTCATTGGAAGTACCAAGGTCCTTAACAGAATCATGCATCTTGAAAGAGATATTTACATAATCATATCAGATGGAATTTATCTTTGTAACTATTAATAAAATATGCTACAATTTCTCTTGGATCAATATACTGTCAATATAAAAAAAGATACTTACTTTTGCAAACCAAGTATGATATAGTCTGTCCCAAAGTTCCAGAACTTGTTTTTCAATCATAGCAGTATTATTTACTTTTTCTCCTAATATTTTATCAAGCTATAAAATATTAAAAATGTGTCAAAATATTTGAAAAGGAACATATTCATTGACCAATTATTTTATATTTACTAAATATCGATTAACCAAAGAAACTATTTTAGATAGAAAAATGTCCATACTATTTATTCATTCACTTGTTAGGAATATTGCAAATGTTGAAAAATAGATTTACAAATATTTATATATATACATATATAATTTGTAAATCTATTTTTCAACATTTCTAACTTGTGTATGTATGCGCGCGCACACACACACACACACATTTCAAATGACCTTTATTTATTGATTTTTTTTATATTGTGATTCAGTTTGAAAACATTACATAGCATTTGAATAGTATTTAAATTGTAGCAATAATAATTTAAATAGTTACGACTTTGGTTGGTATAATTAAATCATGACAGTAATCAGAATGTATTTAAAAGGAACAAGAAAAGCAAGAGAATTTAGATTATCAAATCCAGAACTGCACTATTTTATTTTAGAACCAACTGGTTGGTGTGTTTTTTTGCCTCAGCTAATACTGCTTAATAAGGACTAATCTAATGCAAATGTTAAAAAAGAAATAAAGAAAATAACAATAGTAAATACCTAAGAAAATTAGGAAAAGAAATGAAAAAGGATTATAGAAAAGCAGCTTTTCCAAATATGCTTGTACATTTTCCAAATATGCTTGTACCAGTTTTTATTGGACTTAGTAGGTAAACAAATAACTGTTAAAACCTGATCCCATAATGATATTAGAGGGGATAGGAGAATTAAAAGCTTATTTAACATTTACAAATTATAGTTTAATAACTGCAAGTTTATGTTTTTAATTCAGGTAATTTGATATATCTATTTTAACATACTTTTTATAGTTTTGTTTTGCAGACTGCTATGAAATTTGATGAATAGCACAAAATGTATTTTTATTAATGCTTAGTTAAAGACAAACTATTTGCAAACAATGTCAATATTAAATATAAATCAAAGGTTATTTTTGCAGTCATGAATCTTTTTGAAAAGAAAGTAAGAAACAGCAGAACATTAATCTCCAAAGAGGAATCTTATCATTACCTTATGCGTTATCCATTCTCGCCCATACTGATAAACATTAGTAGCAGCTGAATTCAAAGCCTTCTGAATGACTTGAGCTTCGGGAAGCCAACTAATTAAGAAATACAAATGTAAAAAATGCATTCTGGTTGCATATATTCTAATTGCATGTATACTCAATAAATAAATTAGGATAGACAACTTGGTACTTTTAATAGGAACAATGAAGTTGTTTAAATGTAGTTTCTCATGCCAAATAGCATACATTCAGATTTATAAGTTTTTCTGAAAGATCAGCATATTGAACAGTAGCAATTGAAATGCTACTACAAAAATCCTTGGCCTTGTTATTTGTCTGAAATATATTCATATTTTTCAAACAATGGCAGAATAATGTGAAATACCAAATTTCCATATAGATTTTTCGGGACCAGAGCCTCCCATTGTAAATATATTTTTTACTGAAAACATTTTTAAGAATATAATGCAAATGTTAAAAAAGAAATAAAGAAAATAACATTAGTAAATACCTAAGAAAATTAGGAAAAGAAATGAAAAAGGATTATAGAAAAGCAGCTTCCCGTCTTTTTAACAGCAATTATAAATAAATTTATATTTTACCCTCTCTCTTTAAGGTTACATAATAATTTCCCTCTTTCTATAAGCTTTTTTTCCTAATCTACAGACTCATAAACCATAAGCACCTTTTTCTCTTTTTTATAATAATTTTATTAAATGTTACTATTAGAAAAAATAAAAACTAATACAAACTATAAAAATATAAAACTAAAAATATAGAAGTGCAAAAAAAAATATAGAAAAAAAAGAAGAAAAAATATTAAAAAGTAACTTCCCCTTTCATAACTTATCACATCTCTTAAAACAGCAATGCTCTCTTCTTTCCATATTTCTTAAAGCCTTGTTATTCATTCCTAGTCATCAAAAGTTCATTAAGGGCTACCAGAGATAACCTTCATTAAATAAGCCAACTCTATATTTCTTTCCTTTTTAATAACACTGGCTTTTAGTTCCTTCAAATGTCCTGGTACTTGATTTTTCTTTCTTTCTCTTTCTTTCTTTCTTTCTTTCTTTCTTTCTTTCTTTCTTTCTTTCT